TGGGTACAGGGCTGGAGGGCAGCCCTCGGGGTTACCTCGCTCAGCTCCGGGAAGTTATCCTGCTGGCAGAAGGGGCACTGCCAGAGGCCCGTCTCGTCGTTCCGGATCGCCTGGTCGTAGCTTTCTCCTTGCGGCCGCCGATGGGCGATTCCCGTCACGTTGCAGATGATCAGCTTACCTGCGGACAGGGGAAGCCGGATCTTTAAGGGGGTGTGAGGGTGGGGGGCTCAACTCAGACAAGCAAGAGCGTTGCACAAAATTGATCTCAGAGCAACGGGGAGCCGATGAGGGCTACATTCTTGATCGCTGGTCATAGCTGTGGCTCACCACCATGATCATCTGAAGATCTCCAGCAGCGTCCCTCAACCTGGCTGGCTTGAAGATGGGTGGACTTCAACTCCCAGAATTCCCCAGCCAGCATAGCTGGCTGGGGAATTCTGGGGAGTTGAAATCCACCCATCTTCAAGCCAGCCAGGTTGAGGGACGCTGATGCGAGGTTCCCCCACTAGCCTTTGAGTGGGGTAAGAGTTGGATGCCCCTACCGATGTAAAAGGTCTCGGGGGTCTCCTTGGTCAACATGTTGAAGACCTCCTCGGAATTGGGCGCGCGATACGGGCTGCGCAAGTCCTTGTAGCGGCAACTCAGCTCCGCTCGGATGTCGTACAGGGTGATGTGTTTGTCGCCGTAGCCCTGCAAAGAAACCGGGGCCGTGAATATGTCTGGTGGGGACCCAGAAAGACCCCCCTCTTGGGGTGGGAGGTTCTGCTGACCTGCCTCTCCAGCTCTTCCGCGAAGGCATCCAGGTCCAGATCCTTCAGACGCTCCGGGTTTTCCAGGATCTCCTCCAGGGCCCCGGCGGGGTTGGCGTCCTCGGCCGACTCGTCGTATTCCAGAGCATCCACGGCCATCTTCCGCGCCCATTCGTAGGTCTCCGGGTGGACCCTGGAGCCGTCAAGGACCTCGATGTAGGAATCCGTGCTAGGAAGATCGTGGGAAGATTTATTTTATTTCGTGTGGCGGGACAGAATGCAGCACCGGTGCGTAAAATGCAGGAAAACAGCGTAAAAAAGGCGTTATGAAAATAACAAAGCACCAGTACGGTGAATTCTTTTAAGAAACGCACAGCACAAATGACGAATAAAATGACGAATGGAATTAAATTATGTACATGAGCAGTTACTGGAGTGGCTAAGCGCACAGCTGGTATCTAGATCAGGGGTAGGCAACCTTGGCTCTTTTTTGACTTGTGGACTTCAACTCCCAGAATTCCTGAGCCAGGAATTCTGGGAGTTGAAGTCCACCAGTCATAATGGGAGGCATAATTCCCCCATGCTGGCTCAGGAATTCTGGGAGTTGAAGCCCACGAGTCATAAAGGGGGCCATAGTTCCCCCATGCTGGCTCAGGAATTCTGGGAGTTGAAGTCCACTAGTCATCAAGGAAGCCATAGTCCCCTCATGCTGGCTCAGGAATTCTGGGAATTGAAGTCCACGAGTCATGAGGGGGCCATAGTTCCCCCATGCTGGCTCAGGAATTCTGGGAGTTGAAGTCCACCAGTCATAAAAGAGCCAAGGTTGCCTACCCTTGTTCTATTCTACAGCTGCGTGACTAACTTAACAACCGCAGTGATTCAGTTAACAACGGTGTCAAGAAAGGTCGTAAAAACGGGGCAAAACTCACGGTTGCTTAGCCCCAGAAACGTTGGGCTCAATTTCGGCCGTAAGTCAAGGACCAGCTGTATTTTAAGAGTCGGCGTTGCGGGCTTCCGGTGGAGATTGCTGCAGGGAATGGCGGCGTTTTCTAGCCGCCCTCCTGGGGCTGCGTCAGAGCCGGCAAGAAGCAGCGATCATCAGCTGCTTCTCGGCTTGGAACCTCGTCCCTCGGGCGAAGAGGGAGGGGTGAGCTTGTCCGGATAGAGATAGAGCTCCCTCTCTCCCCCCTTTCTCCCTGGGGGGTTGATAGGTGTGAGTTCTCTCAGAGTCTGGACTTTCTCCGCACCCTATGGTGCCTTTGTTCCTCTTCGGAAGAACAAAGCTAACTGCAGCTCTCACTTCTGCTATTTGAAGTTTTTTTGAGAGTGAATTTACAAGCAGACGGAATTGAACAGGAGGAGGGGCAATCAAAGGTGACATAAAACTTTAACTCAG